AAAGATCTATCCAACCAGAAATCAATGTGCCCTCTTCACCATCCTCATCGTGAGAGCGAGAATTTGATGGATTTTTAGGTGCTTCCTTGACTTCAAGTTTTCATATGAAGTTGAATGCATGGTGTATAAACGAGCAATTTGATGGACTAAGTAGTTTCATCAAATTAAGGCCATTACTAGTAAGTGCAAATGAACAAAGTGCGCAAATTTAGTTTGAAATTTAACAGTTATAACTTGTATTTGGCCAGTTAATAGTGCAATATATGAGTTTAGCTCTTGTCCAATTTGGACAAGTTACGTCTAAAATTTATATTTTTTCAATTTTTATTATTTTATTTTATAATTCTTGAATGTTCCAACTTGACGTAAGGAATAACATTCGTTTGACACTTAACGTAAGTTAATATTTTTAATTGAATAACTATTTGTGGGACTGTTATAAATTGCAATGACGAATAAAGTAAAATATTATGATCATTTTGAAATTCCTTATAAACTTCAGCGACCACTATTGAAATTAATTATTATTCAAATAGAACAATCACTTACAAGCATTTATGGCTCAAGTTCACCCAACCTGCCAAACTCAACGAAATTTTGTAATTTGATTGACCCAATCCAAACCCTAGGCTTTGTCTATCTAAGGACTTTGAGTGGCTATAGGGAGAGAGAGAGGGAGAGAGAGAATGAGGGATGCGGGTCTGGATTTATTTGACCCGAGAGCAACCGTGATGGACTCCGACTGCAACCTTTCGCCTTCAAACGGCCGTGAACAGGAGGATTTCGCATTCGCTTTCAATGACAGCAACTTCTCAGACCGGGTCCTCCGGATCGAGATCATGCCCGACTCCCCAGACACCCGACCCGACTTGGAGGGTTGCCTAACCCTAGCTGATTGGGCGACCCGCAAGAGCAAGCGTCGCCGTGGAGATATCGGCGACGGCGAGAAGGAAAATGGTAAGTCCACCTTGTGGTCAAATATGTATAGATATAAGCCTGAACATTGTTATTGATGACTTTGAGTTATGTGGTAATTGTTTCTTGTTCTGATTATTGTGTGTGTACATGTATTTTTGTTTATTATTCCTGTTTATGTGTTGGATAGGAGAATAAAGAAAATCTTTTCAATTACTTTTAATTTGAAAGTGTAATTAGATCGCACAGATAAACATAATTTAAAGAAATAAATGAAGCGGTAAGATTAACTTGATCTTGGATGTAAAACTATAAATGATTGAAGCAAAGCTAATTGAACTTGGCTCATCAAGGAGTGAGTTGATGATTGGACTCAGATTCCGAAGCTGGCTAAAATGAAATACCTAGCTTGGTAAACCTATTTTTAGACTAGTTATGCTACATGTACACTCAAATTAAATGCCAAAATGCATGCCCTTCGTCATCAGTCAACAAAGGTGTAAACAATTTCTTTACAAGTAGCTTAACTGTTTTTGGACTTTGTCAAGTCTGGTTTGTCAGTGTGGAGATACCAGTCATATAGTTGAAATTTAGGCAAAAATAACTGGGATATTTGATTGAAAAATAGAGTTCTGAACTTTTTGACTATGGTTTTTCTAGTATTTGTGCTTCCCAAATATGATGTTGCATAAAATTGTATAGTTAGACTGCGTTTATTGGCAATTTGAATTTTTTGCTTGAGTGGAAGTGATTCTTTGAAAAGTGCCCTTTTTTTTTTTTTTTGTTGGAGAGAGAGAATTGTCCTTATTAAGAAAGGCTATGCGAAAACATGAAAATGCTTTCTTTCTTTCTTTCTTTTTTTTTTTTTTTTGAGAATGTGTGGTTGAAAGTGAGTGTAAAGAAAAGTTATTTTCAAAAAATCACTTCCACACAAGCACTTTTGTTAAAAAGTGAGCTTTTCATTTCTAATTCCAATTTTAATGCCTTGATTTTATGCCACCAAGTTTGTTATTGAGTTGTATATGTTTCCTTTCCTTTTTCCTTCTTTTTGCTCGGTGTTGATCATATCAAAACATTATCCAGATTTTTTTTTCTGTTAAGAAATTTTAATATGCTATGTTTCTCATCAAAGCATATCCTTCTTTGGTTTGGACCTGTCCGTAGTTTGTTGCTCCTATTGTAGTTGTTATGGATTGCGGTTTAACTATCTTTTCCAGATATTCAATTGCATAAATGCTTCCTTGCAATTTTGCATTGTTTTTAAGACCTCTTCTCATTCTTATGCTGGTATGGGTTGTGCTGATGTTAATCAGACATGTGCCACTCGTTTGCAGCTTTGGATATCAACATTCGCCCAGACGAGCAGACTCTTGATTGTCAGCTGCCTGATATTGAAGTTTGTGTGGATGATGATAATCATGATGAAGAAGAAGTTCCAATGATTGAAGAATTTTCCCCAGGTATAAGAAAAATATTCACCATCACTTTCTTATTCATCTTTGGGCATCATCTTTATGACTGGTCTAAGAATTCACGTTGTACTGTAGTTCTTTGAATAGTTTTGGGAGAAACAGATGAACTTTATGCTTGCATTGGATTAGGCATTTCAATTCGAGATTTAAGATTGGGGGAGTATTAGATATAATGTCCAATTGCCAGAAAATGTATGGTGAAGCCAATATGATGGACAATGTATTGGAGAATCTTACTAGGACCATTTGAATAAAAATGTCAGGGCCTTGTAGAGGGAGTGTTCTTAGATTCCAAATCTGTTTTTCTGTACGTTTTTAAATTTTTTATCTAGTTTTCATACGTGGGTCCATGTAAATAGAGGTTCATTTAGTTTTCTCCATTATCAAAATTCTTGTTTTTCCCCTCAGGGCACTGAGTTGAGTATCCGGCTATAAACTTCAAGGCTCGTGGAATTAGTTGAGGTGCGCGTAAGTTGGTCCGGACATCTAGGGTCATAAAAATAAAATAAAAAATTCTTGTTTCATCATTCTAGTTTGCTGTCTATGCAAATAACCAATTATATTATTTCTGCTTAATGACATTGTTCTCATTTTGGTTTCTTGAAACATTTGAGAATCAAAACCATTTTATTTGTTTACTGTTTCTTGACATGTCATCCCATATGTTTAAAGATGTTGAGATGGAAGACCGAGATAAGATTAACTCTATTTATTAGATACAGGAGGTTTGCTTTCTTTTATGGGAGATATATTGGCAATGGACCATGGGATCAGAGGGTGTGCTTGATATCGGTTATATGGTGGATGAATATCTATGAAGACCTTGATAGGTTGGGGGCTGTAGATAAAACAAGAGCAACTGATCAGAGATTACTATGTTGAGAAAAAATTTTAATGTTTCCTGATAGTGGATAGTAACCTAGATAGGTGGAAAATGAAGACTCAATTGAATCTTTATGCCAATACCTAGGTAAAGTTCTGTATTTGCATATTTCCATCATAGTTATATATTTTGAACATATTTTGGTTGGGTATTGGTGCACAATGTGGGAATCCACATGTTCAGCTCCTCGCATCTCTCTTAAGAAAAAATTATTCTCCTCTAAAATTAAAGGTAGCAAATTGCTCCTGCAGGAGATGAAGCTGCAAATAGTGATGATTCAAATTCGTCTGGGGATAGTTCAAGAGTTTTAAGAGTTATAACTTTACATATCAGCTCTCCTATTTTAGCAGCAAAGAGTCCATTCTTCTTTAAGGTAATTATAGTTTTAATTTGAGAAATTCTAGTATTTGTCTCTCTAGGTGTATTTCGTATGAATTTCTTGTTCCTTACTATGCAGCTATTCTCGAATGGGATGATGGAGTCAGAGGAGAGACATGTAACGCTAAGAATTAATGCCTCTGGTACGTAGTACGTTGCACCAATAGTTATCGGCTCTGCTTCTGAATCCTTTTTTGGTTTTTGATTTCTCTTAATCTTCTTTTTGAGGAAATAATTTTGACTTATATTATTTATGAGTAATCTCTAATTCTTATTATGATTTCCTAATCATCTGTGGTCAGTTGCATTGTGAAAAGAAGCCCAGCAAATATCTCTTTCATACATTTTATGGTAGTGATGATTGATAAATGTTTATGTCATACTCCTCTTAAGTTTCTTTTAGCTTTTCTCACGTAAATACTTTGGACTTTTTTGTCCTGAACCTTTTTTTCTTTTTTTTTTTTTGGTACATTGTACTTGCACGTTATTAGTTACGGTATCCATAAAATAACGGTACAAATTGCCTCCACCGGTACGTAGCGTGGTAATGAAGAATGCGTAGGTTGCAATTCTTTCCTCTTCAAATTCCTTACTTATTTCTTGGACACAACTTTTCTCTTCAGTCTTATATCGTCTATTAGACTAATATTTAATGTTACTTTCTTTTTCTTAATGGAACAGAGGAAGCTGCTCTCATGGAACTCCTGAATTTTATGTATAGTAATACTTTAACCACTACTACAGCTCCTGCTTTGCTGGACGT